AAGGCGTCGTCTTTTCATAGCACGGCAGCATTATTTCTCTAACATGCCTCACTGGTTTTTCAAAATGACAGAGATATGATAGCTCGCGCGCAACTATACGTGCTTGAAGGCTGTCCGTTTTGCATACCCGAAAAATTGAAGGCGTTTTGGTTTTCCGCGCTTTTAAATTGATGCTCGCAGAGGAGCTACCCTATATACTGTTGATTGATTTTGTAGCTCCAAAAATATATGTTCTCGAGGAGTGTCCGTGTTGCAATTTTAACATTCGAAAGAGAAGGTGCAAGTAATTGAAAATTTGTGGAGGGAGGTGGAGAGAAATGATTTTTTACAACGATTATGACTTTCATGGTCAGAAATAAACCATCAGGGATCTTGCAGCAAGCTGCAAGTAGCAGACACAAGAGACAAGCGATCCTCCACTGGCCTCTTGGCGAAAGATGGAAGATTTTACTTTCGGGGATTCAACACTTCCTCGTGGACAATTATGAGGGAGCAACAGTCATCACTCTTCTTTCGGCTGTTGACCTACTTACATGGTGGATGATGAGCTTCAACAACGTGAGGTCATGAGCCAAAACAGTTTACCAAACGAAACTGCCAACATGTTATTAAACATCAACCATGTAAGTCAACAGTAGAATGCTCAAGTCCCGAAAGTAAAAGCTTCCACCATTGCCAAGATACTGGTAAGGGTCTTTTGTCTCTAAGTCTTCAGTTTTATGGTTCTAACGTAAACAGAAACAGAAAGAGAAAATTAGACAATAATGATACAACTAGGCTGATTTTCTTAGATTCTCCAGATATATAAAGCACAACGACAAAGATATTCTGCTCAGTTTGGCTACGACGAGATAGTGGGTGTTATATCTCGGCCGAGATCGAGGCGATTCAAGAGCAAAAGCAATTAAAAGCTTTCGCGAGCATTTAAGGTTCTTTTAAAATGCACTGGGAGCCGCGCTAAGAGACTGAAACTGTTGAGACTTTAAAATTGACTCAGCTCGACGGCGGGATGATTAGAGGGCGGTCGGGTTCATATTCGCGGCTCGAATCGATGTTGCAAATCCCTAAAAGGTTCCCTGACCTATATTCGAGGGACTGGATCTCTCGCCCTTTTTTAATCAAGTCTGCCAGCCACTTGATTTGAGAACTGCTCTCTTTTGTCTTGGCATCGACTCTTAACCGCGCCTCTCGGTCGGAGTGAAGATGCTCGGCATTCAAAAGGGTCTATGCAAAGTTTGATCGAAAGCTCCGGCTCGGCACATCCGCGGTACGAAAACACGTGATCCAGCTTCCGCTTCCGAAATCAGAGGCATCCTCGGACGAAAGAATGGGGCAAATGAACGGATTCTATGCAGATTCGTTTCGATCATTCACTAACGCGTCTATTGTTTTCGGATTCTGACGAGGATAAGGGTCTATTGATGGAGGATCTATAAAATACTGCGACTCATTCACACGCTGAAACATTAGTGAACCTTTAAAACCAGGCGGTGTGAGAGAGGGTGCACTGGAAAAAAAAAAAACACATTGGATCTAGAGTCCAGATCGCTTACACCACGCTCCGGCACGGTAAAAGCCCAAAACATAAAAGAACAAATTTGAATGCTTTGGAAATCATTAAATTTGACACGAAACCACTAATATATTTACAAAAAACACATTATATTTTCCAGTAGTACATATTTCTTTTTCATCAGTTTAAAAGGGAATAAGCACTGCAGAGAGTGCAAACATTTCAAAATCATTAGTTGAAAAACGTTGACTTAACTCCGCGAGTTTAAATACTAGAGCCTAACACAGAGCGCGCGGAGCGGCGTGTTAGCAGCGCAGAACGCGCACTGGCGCCTACAAACCTAACGGGATACTTCACGCATTGCGCAACGCGTGAAGTATCCCGTTAGGTTTGTAGGGGCCTGTGCGCGTGTCACGCTGGTTGCCTGTCGCGCCGCAAAGCTTTAAGCAACTATTTCGCGTCAGAGGCGTTGCACAGTATCCTACAAGATTGAAGGCGCACGAAATAACTAGTCAAAGAGGACTTTCAATTTTGACTGCATCTGTCACTGAAAAATGTTTAATTTGGCATTGGAGCGTTTCCTAGGCTCCCGCTTTGGTTTTCATCTTATCGTATCCGCACAGTTTACACATGAACATATGTTTTTATCTGCTCTTAGAGTCTGTTCTCTTTCATGACTTTGATTCATGAATGAAATGTTTTTAAGAATGAAGGTAGTAGTAGTATGCATTCATTTTTGAGGTGGTTCCTGTCATTTAACTGAGAAGAAAAAAATGAGGACATAACATGTTCACAATTTGGACAATTTTGGACATATCCTTTGTTGACATTAAATCATGTGGACCTAATAAAGATTGGACTTAACGTTTAGTGGACATAAATAGCGGTGGACATTTATTTAATGGACGAAAAGTAGGTGGACATGAAGTCCATGGAAGCCCTTAGGTAAGACCAAGGCTCTTTTTTTCCACTTTTGTGTACATTATCAACATTTCATTTGAACAACATTATCAGGTTTGCTCCTCCGATGATTTGTTGGTGAGATATCAGCCTGTCAAGTTGACATAATTTTTCTCGAGATAATTAGGATCATTTCCTACAATTCAACTAATATTTTCTCATTAAATACGTGCGGGGTGTTGTGTGCAAAATTCAGACTATGACATTCATTCAAATTTTTCTCTAAGATCCAACAGCGTCTATTCTAAATCCTCGAATCCGAAAAACGCGCCTTTTGGATTTCACCGCGGATACGGTGACTCTGGCAACTTCTCGTCATCTGCGCTTTCGTGTCTCCCGACTCCGCGTGTCTTCATAAAAAATAGAAAACACACTTTCGCAGGTCGTCGACAATTTACGCCTCCACCATATCGTGGCTGCAGGTACACACCCCCATGCAGCAGGGGTGGGGGTAAAAAATAATGGCAATGAGCATGTATTATAGAGCGAAGCATTCAGGTGACATGCGAGCAATATACACTCTACTAGTATATGCGCGCTGCGGTATCACCGTTTCGGGCGGTCTTATGGACTTGCATGTTTATCTGATCCAGCGCAAGGGTTCGTTAGAAACCGATGAATATTTAAGTTCATGCTTGCGTATCTTTCGAAGCTAGGTAGCCATACTGAGTCTCCGTTAACGTTTTTCTATTTTCTCTCTTCCTAAAGGGAAACTTTCTATTCTTCTGGCCTCCATGTTACCATGGGTGAAACTAGAAATTTCTTATTTTTGACTGGAAGGCAAAGACGAACATCTCATGTAGGCATATCTGGAGGGGAGGGCGCAGAAAGACATCTCTCTTAAGAGGGTCTGACGAGGAGACTCCTTCAGTTATAGGAGAGATCTATGGGGACGCCCCCATTATCCCAAAAAAGGGTCTGGGGAGAGAGGTTCCCGGTATAATTTTGAAAATTGAGACGTACCAGGGGCATAATTCTAACTTTTGAGATGTTTTTTTTTTTTTTACCTGTATATTGATTTTCATACAATTTCAAGGATGAAAGAAGTGTCACGCACTTATTTCTCAGAATTTCTTACACTTCATGAAAGACACCTGATAAATTTTCGACGAACCTAGGGCTCTCTCCTGGTTCCACAATTGCCTATTACTGAACAGGTTTAGACTATATATTCAATACAGAGGCTATTGTACAATTGACACAAACTCGAGAGTTTTCTATTGGGTAGTCGACTCAAATCTGGAGTCAAGTTTGATCCGATCCCTGACTTGAGACATATTCTACATTAAATCAGCATGTTCTCCCAAACGCTAATAAACAATATATTTAGGATTGTTTAAACAAAAAAACAAACAAAAAAAACGGCCTACACGGTTTGGCAACGCAGAAATGTACTCATGGCATTCGATTGAGCAAGGCAAGCGAACAGAACAATTATTTTCCATGCTTTTCCATTTGGGTCATCACGCAACACGCTATACAGAGCACGACATACACAGAAATGTCCAATTCTTATCTGATTCTTGCAAGTTTCGTAATGAATACACCTTCCAACTATATCGAATCAAGCTTTCGTTCTTCTTGAGAGAACAATGATATTATTTCGGTCGGAGTGAATTTGAATAATACTTTCCGCTTTTAATTTATTCGTTGAGAGGAATGGACGTATTTATGCTAAAAGGAACTATATTGCACGCAAATCCTATGTACATAGTTCCTTTTAGCATAAATACATCCAAATGTAACTAATGCCTGTTGATAAATTATTCAAAAGTTTTTAGAAAAGGAAGAAAAAAAACTTTGTAAAATTATGCGGGAGGAGTGGTATTTCCAAGAGTAATAACTCAATGATTCAAGAAAAATGTAATCACATAAAAATGAATCTTAAATATTTTATTTTGAAGATATTATAATTATTCTTGATCATTGATTCATTACTTTGTTACGGGCAAAGAAACTTGATCACTTGGAGGAGAAAAGTAGAGCGAGTTTCCATTTGACGAGAGAAGAAAATAAAGTTGAAGCAAGACTTTATAGAATGGGTGCATTTGCAACGAGGAACGAGTAGCAAACTGCCTCAATAGCAAACGACGACGATTCTTGGAACAATGACTGAATAGGCAAAAGCTGGATAAGACTAGTTGCACTCGCAAGAAAGAGACCTGATGGAAGTTCAAGTCGACAGACCCATGTTGAAAGTTCAAATTAATGGTGAAACATCCAAACCAGGTCTATCGGTTCTTGACGTTGTAAATACTTATTATGCATTTAACGATTTTGACAGATGACTGATCATCGTGATTGCATAAAATTTCGTCAATTTTTTTAACCCCTTTCAAGAATATTCTCAAAAAAATATTGTACGAAAATGTCTAGTAATATATTGCCTCTTGAAAAAGTAAAGTAGGATAAAAAATATTGAGACGCCGCGATCGAAATGCGTGGTATGGTCGTTTCACCGTCTATAGATGCAGCTTAAAAGGTTCGAGGCTAAGATTAGTGTTAACCTTGAGGTTTAATTGCTTACCTTTGTTTTTGGCCGCCGAGGACATGCCGGCGAGAGGAATGAGGAGGAGCAGGAGGTGGGGACTGCTCCCGAGCATCTTGAAGAGTTGGTGCTCTATAACAGAAAGCAAAAGGTATTTCAGTCAACAATTGTAAACATGGAGAGGAGAGAGGATATCCATACAGAGAAAGAATCAAACTCAAAGTTGAGTTCTAGAGCGGTCATATTCGTAGTCGTTCCTTTACAGCTCCTGTCTTATATGGTTTACATCGTCAATAAGCAAGATTTAAAAAGATCTTTGACACACTTGACACAGCATGTCATAAAAGGGACAGTTTTTGCCGACTTTGAGTAAAATTCTATAACCTTCAGGAACTTGTAGGCTAGTATAATTAAACACTTATACCTTATGTATATCGCTGTATATGACTGTTCACCATGTACCGAATATGACGTGTGCCATAGCCTCGGCCAGAGGCTCAATTGTACAAATTATAAAATAAATATAAATAAATAAAATTCATGAGTATGATTCTGGAAATGAGTCTTTAAAAATAATTGCAATGATTCACCACTACAAAAAATACTAAACACACAAGAAAATATATTTAGTGTTTCGTAAAATTCTTGGGTACAAATTTTTTCTTCCATATTTTGTACTTTTTTCAATAGCAAATTATTTTGTGCCCTTGCAAGGACCCATTTCTACATATACTGCGGAATCTTGCTGAGGGTTGGTAAACATTTTACTTTTTAGGATGCTAAGTGACGGATCCTCAAACCTCCCTTGATCACGAAGTATAAACCAAAACGACCCTAAAGGAGGTTTAAACAGACCCCTAAAAAATCATCGTAAAATTTACCTAATTCTTACTTAATAAATACTACCTTATACTGAATTTAACGATAGTTTTTTCTTCGTGTAGGGATTTTAACGAATCTTGTCGCTGATCTTCAAGATCCGACGGTAAAAAATAGACGTCTTTACACTAATAGGAACTATGAGAATAGGGTCTAGGTGGAACGTAGTTCCTTTTAGATATGAACTGCAGGCTGCACAGGAGCCATTATCTCTGCATCACTTTGGAAACAACATATGTTTCATTATGTTCCCTATGTAGATTTTTACTTTCACGGATAAGCCAGAAATAGGGTTCCTCTATTTCGGTGGTTCATCGCAAAAAGCGACTTTTCTATCCGCAAATCCGTTTGACGGTATCAAAACTTCCTAAATTTCGCAACATAAAACCACTATTTCCGACTCGTTCATGAAAAAAGCACCTATCCGCACAAGGAAGTCAACGGCGCATTATTTTCTTTCCAAAACGAGCCGGAAACAGTGGTTCCTCATCGCAAAATACAGTCAAAATCTGGCAAAGGCGTTGTAAAAGCACTCGGTCGTATCCGCGAATCCTTTCTCAGTCTCCGTCACTTTCCCGGCGGGCACATCTCTCCTGCTAAACACAAACCACTCAACTCCAACGAAAACCCTTTGTAGATATACGCGGTTTTCGCTTAGGACGACAGACTTTGCCTCCGCTCGGCTTTTGTCCGACCGGATTTAATCCGTGCACGCACCCCGGGGCACTCATCCCCCCCCCCCCGCTATGGTCGCTCCTCGTGTTACGCCTCGGCTCCGATAGGCCCTCGTGAGGAGATTCAAGAGAGTGTTCTTCCCTGCTCACAAAGTAAGAACCTCGCATCTTCGAGGGAAAAGCAATGTAAATATGCGGTTTTGGCAGCGTGCAAGATATATTTCCTTGAGTTTCCCGGTCGACAGAGATATTGTTTTAAGGGGTCGCTGTACGGGCCGCGGAACAATCGCGCGGTAGTGGCGCCCCCAAGAATCCCGGGAGTCTTCCGGGGCTCTTCAGACGCCTAAGAGGGTTTTTCTAAGGCTCAAAGAATTTTTTTTTTTTTTTTTGTAATTCGCAGAGATGTTAGATTTCGTGGGAATTGAGGATTCCGCTGATTTTGCGTCAGGTTGAGTTCATTCCAAGAACCTTGTGAAAAAGGAGAGAGAACCGAAGAGGGAGGTCAAATCAGTGAGATTCTTGAAAATTGACAACACTATTTTTCCTCTATTTAAATGTGTCTAAAAATATCGATTCTTGCTTGGAGCTTGCCTCGCCTCATATCGATGTTTTTAATGGATTCAAATGGAGGAAACATAGAGTTGCCAACTTGTAAGATCACCATTTTGGTCAAATTAACTGCACCAAAGATGCAAATCCTCCCCCCCTCCCTCTTCCTGAGATCAATATCAGTGCCCCCAAAATATCATCCCCAATTCTTTTCTTGTGCTAATCAGACTAATCTTAAAAATTGATTGATTTTGTCTTTTCTTCTTCGTGTTTTGCTTTACGACGACTCCACTTCGCCCTCCTTGCATCAGCACTTATAATAAACGCATCAGCACTTATTTAGAAATAAAATATAAAAAATATGCATTTGCGGCTTGCCATTTTATCAATGATTATAACTGTCAGATGGTCTATTGCTACAGATCTAAAAATATGTGTTTTTCTCACGTTTACGCAGCCTCGACTCAATTCGCCTTCTCCCTCTGATGTCTGACGTAAAGACGGATCTCAATTTCCTTGTGATCCCTTATCTCCATAAAACGCCGTGCTTTTTAGAGCTTACGCGGAAACAGAGATGTGCCCTTACGTCAGAAGAGCGACAAATTTTGGCGACTCTTTGCATCGTTCGAGTCGGCAATGGCGCGTGTCCTGCCGGAGTGGTTCGATTCGCGAGTGCACTCACGTCTGCCGCTGTAATTCACTTTATTTTTTCGCCCTGGATTCCATACTTTCCCCTCGGAGAAATAACGTCCTTATTATGTCGCCCACCCCCTTCACGCCCACCCCCGTGTCCCTTGTCTGTCCCTCGTCCAGGCCCCTTAGTTTTCATGTATATAATGCACTGCCTATTCGACCCTGCCGAGAAAGAGCACATTATGTGGGCGGAAAAATAGGCTTTTGCCGTTTGTTGTTTCGTTTTTCATTATTCATACTCTACGCGTTTAAAGGAAGAACATCGTACTAAAATTTTTAAAAATTCAAACAAAACGTGAAAAACTTAAGATGAGCCTGGGATTGGTCCACAGGACGTTATGATCCGGCCCCGCTTGAAAACGGTTTTCTCTGAAAACGGTTTTCTCTGAAAACCTATTCTTCGTCGACACTTTGTTCTTCCTCAGCAGAGCGATAAACTTTTTCTAATTTATTCGCTATACAAAATTCATCAGCCCAAATATGATACAAGGCAAAAAAAACTACATCAAAACGGGGTACACGCTGAAGTACACGCGGAAAGTGTAGATAGAATTGAAGGTATATTCTGGAAGAAACACAAGCTGGTGTTCGGACGGATTCTATTCTTTCTTGCATATCTATGAGCCTGAAAACGTAATTCTGTGCCTGATGCAACTGATCAATTTAAACCTTGGCTGGCTGTCCATTATAAATACTTATACAGTGGAGCCCTGGTTATTCGCGCTTGCATTATCTGCGGTCGTCACGCTGGACGTTTGGAGCATAATTTACTTTCTTGGGCGAAAACAGGCGCGATCAAAAGAGTAATAACAGACAATCATTCAAAGTTCCTTCGTGAAATAATCATACTCAAAACAGTAAAATGTATCGCTGTCTTGATCAAGTTGACTAGAAACTGTAATATTTGCAAAAACACGACTTTTTCGACCCGCGGTTCGTAATTTCGGACTATCCGCGGGCTTCCATTATCCGCGGTAACTCCGGTCCCAATCACCGCGGATATCCGAGGTTCACTTGTATTTTCTTTAGGGACCGATTTAAGAACTTCCCATTGCATGAATCATTTTCTACGTTAAAATGTAAAGGGTAAATATGTGACGGAGAGCTACAGTTGGTACCTCGTCTGTGTGATAGCTCATTTCGACCCGAGTGAAAACCTGGGCGAGGGGTTAGCAAAATAAAATGCCGGATTCGCAATTACCCAAAGGTTAATATTTCATGACGAGAGTTAATTAATTTCAGCTCAAGCGCTTATCTGATGTTGCGAGGGACTTCATTTTTGAGCGCTCCCTTACGGCATGCGGCACGGCGGAATAGTTTCGCAATACTTCCGCCGCCGCCGCCTCGATCTCGAGCTGAAGTTAATCTTATAATTAAATCCTTAATTTCTGTCAAGAGTGCGCCCAATGTATGCAAATGCTCCGTCTGGTAACTTCCTCTTGAAATTAGACTTGAAATAAACAGCTACGGTGTAATTCCAATTCCTTTCAGTGCTGAAGCACACTGAACGATTTTTTTTTTGGATGGAAAAGTGAAGACGGTTTTGAAAGTTCTGAGCGGAACGTACCCACCGGATTTCGGCGCACCTGCGTATTGTTTAATTGGATTGCATTCTGCAAAAAGGAACTAGAAGCATTGCAATGATGCTAAGATTGTGCAATTGTGCATTTTCATCCTTTGCAATAAAATTACTGAAATCACGAAAAAATATGAAATTTACATGGCAATTTTTGTCTTAAATTTACGGTTTTTAGCGAGTGAGATAGAAACTGTAAATGGATAATCGCAGGTTTTTCTCTCAAGACAAAAGAAGTTGTACAATCTTTGCAACATTGCAATGCTCTTGGTTCCTTTTTGCAAAATGCAATCCAATTGATCTATTCTCTTTCCAACGATAGCGCAAAACAAAAATCAACAAAAGAAAGAATAGAGGACAGACACCTCAACGGCGACATTCCAACGGTGGAACTGCAAAAATGCGCATCTCGGTTGCGGTGTTTCGAAATCTCCGCTATTATTTTATTTCTGAAAGGGACAACGAACCAATATCATGGCTTGAAGTTTTTACAGGATATCATTAATAGAGAGGGGAAAAAATCACTGAAATTTCAAAAAAATGTCATTCAGTAGTTTTCCATGTAGGGTATGAAGTATGACAGGAAGTTCGCAACGCAGCCATAAACCGAGATACACATTTATTCAGTTTTACCATCGATTTGTTTTGAGCCCCATCTCTATGATGTAACATAGTAGAGCAAAGCAATTCATGTTCCTCCGTGAATGGTAAAGAAAATAAAGAAATCATATTGGTCAAAATAATTGTCGCCTTTCTGACGT